AAATTATCATATGACGCGTCTTTATCTCAATAGTACGTTATTCTGTTTGGCTGTGACTCATGTGCATTATACACAGTGTGGTACAATGTTTTGGTTATTTTTCTGTCATCAGTAGCTGAAATCACTTTTAGTCATCAACTTTAATAAATAGTTGTAAAAGAGAAGAGTGCTCGATTTTATATTACAGTCTTCACGAAGAATCGGTCTAAAAACTGAAACTCGGTCACGCTACAGTTTTGTTATTTAACTCCCCAGAGAATTCTGCAACGAGAGCAATCTTATAGAGAAGGAAGGAGCAAAATGCGACCGCACGAGTTGGGCCTGGCCTTGGCTTTTAGCCAACCGCCAGGTGGCACTGGTGACCCGACGAAGGAAAACGTATCTTCCCAAAATGGAGGCAGAAGTGGTAGAAAAGGTTACAATGGGGCCAATCTACTGACGCTAAGCCCGAAAGAAGAAAGGCTACTGCCAACGACAATGAAATTCCTCTATCAAATTAAATTAAAGAAAAATATAAGATGAAATTAAGCCTCCAGGAAGACGACGATTAAAGCAAAGAGATAACGGAGGTAAAAGAGACAAAGAAACAGTATATACAAAGACAAGAATTCTAATGATTATTCACGTGATGAGTTTTACTGTTTTGCGGAAATGAAAGGAAATATCAATCCCGTGAAAAATGCCTGATTGTTGTAATGGAAGATATGCAAATTAACCCAGCGTTCTGGGGAAAGACTTTCAAGGAAATTCTTTTAATGAAAAAATTACAGCTTCGTGTTATTCGTAGTGTTTTGTACTTTAGGAATTCTTTTCTTCAATATCGCAAGTGCAAGGTTTCTTTGATTTAATAAATTATTCGTTCTTTGTTATTTGTTTATTTACTTGTCTATTTCAGAATACATGCGTCTACGGTTTGCTTTGGCAGTCTTAACCCATATTATTTTAAGTTTTCTGAAAGTTTCTGCCAGTTGCAGAAAGTTCAAAACGAAGAGTTACTTTGAATACTCTATATGACGCTAATTAATTTTTGCAGGGCTCAAACGCCAAGATTTGCGTTCAAAACTTAGCTAATTTACATTTCAGTTAAATGGTCTACCGAGTATCACAATTTTAACATGTAAGTGGACATATCTCTCTAATTAGATTACGTTCTAAGAAGTCAGAAAAGTACTATTCTAATTTTCAATAGATATACATTTTATTTCAGAATCACCGTCATCAAATGTTCTTTTTCTCTCATGGTTGACGCTAAAAAATCAAAAATATTACAATAAATTGATTTAGTTTCTGTTTCCGTCTTTTCGTACAAATCATTGAGTTAAAATGTATAAGATGGCAATGGCTTGCCACAGTATTGTTGCGACTTGTGATGTTGCATAAAAAATGAGCAGCAAATATATAAATAAAATGGAGGAAACAATAGTTCATCACAATTCAAAGTAATTATTTAGAAAAGAACATACAATAACTAATGTGTTTGAACTTTATCGCATCTCTGCGAAAACAGTGACAAACAATAATGACAATATTTTACAATGTTAGGTATGCCCCCACACGCAAAAGACTTCGAATCTCTTACTGGTCATTTATTTCAGATAAATGAGGATCTGTCTCTTTGGTTAGTTCTTAAATACTCGTATCATGAAATTATTCACTTGTTTCTCGAAAATTCCAGTTCCGATTTATGGCAGTTTTATTGCTTGGGCAATTTATTTAGTCTGCGTTGCTCTTACAAAACAGACTGTTGCGGCAGAACTTGAAGACTTTAAGATCAAAGGCATTGATGTTTGCTCCTGGCAATTTGTGTCCCGTTAGGAATGGAAAGAGCCATCTCGTATTCCGCTTAACACTCCAAAAGACAAATATTTAATAATTCAAATTGTTTAAATTAGTAGTCACCCCCATTAGAGGTTGATTGCCGGAGTAGTGCATTAACAAACGGTCGTCGGACCGCGCGCGATCTTTCCTTTCTCTTCCTCTTCACACTACTCCTACACACAGATACATTTCCACGTATGTATTACACTACACACGTTGGGAGTCCAGTGGGGAGCTTACAGCTTGTTCCAGCTGGGGCGGTAACCAGCTTGTGGGAGATACCTGGTCGGGAAAAAACCCGAAAGTGCCCAGCGTGGGACGATTAGCATCACCTATCGCGATTAAAAAAGGGCTGCACTACCCTTATGGAACTAATTACCACTAGGAATTTATTTTCATCGAGGTTGTTTCTGAGTATCAAGTTAAACGATACTCTGTGGAACATCGATGACGCGACAATGACACCCCAGTACCCCGCATAGAGTTTTCGCAGACGAATGTGTATTCTGTCCTTCGTTTTCCTGTCCCGAAGGTGAGGTGAACACATACCACTCTGCCGATGCCTTTAGATAATTCGTGAAATCGTTTCTGGACGAAATTGGCGGTGGGTTTGGAACATTTCTGTTTGTCTGGTCGTTTCTTTTGCGTTGTAGGTAGCAGCTACAAACATTAAATGCGTGTATTTTTTCTTTTTCACTTTGGTATGCGACAGTGGCAGGTTCAAATTCTGTCTTCCGCACAATACAAGCCTCGACGCGACAAAGTAACAGACTAATCTGTATGAAACACAAGTTTTTTCCTTATTTTTTTACACTTTTGCACCAACATCATATTAACAAACTATTTTGTTAATTGCCATATAGGGCCTATGCCATTTTCTCACTGTTAATTATGGACACCGCGTAAGACTCAGTTCAAACTACGCGCCCAGAAATAATTATTGATCTCGATATTTTAATGACCGAACATTTTATCTGCAAAATTGTTATGCATCATGATGTTAAGGAATGAAACGGCAGGGAACTATCATTTATCGTATCTCTTAAGCATAAGACGTTAGTTTACCCTGAAGATATGCAAAACAAATTCAAGTATTTAAGGAATTTTGTTAATTTATATAAGGCTTCATGTTCTGCGTTTATTGTTACATCGCTGCATACTGGGGTTACAACGTACAGCCAAAATGAATTTTAGTATATTTAATAGATTAAATGAATAGTAGACATTGAGCTTGATTCTATTATATGACTCTAGTGCGCGGCTAGAGATGTTTGTCTCACTCGTCAGTTTCACCGAAATCGCAAAGAAACGTCGCTATTCACAGCCCCTTCGGCAGACACTGCTGTGTGCTGCCCGGAAGTAACATTTAAATTACATTTTCTTGAAACCTTTTTTTAAAAAAAAACTGATTCTTTACGATTGTCAACATAGAATTTGGGGTATTTTTTAACGGAAGTTGTGGGCACCTGTAGATGTAGTCTTCATTTCTGTTTAACCTTTGTTCCAGGCACAAGCCAAGGAATAAACCTGCAAGAAATACAGGTAGACGAGAGCAGATTTACCCGGAGTACGCAATTCTCTGAGATTGGCATCTATACAGGCCACCCAAATGAACATTCTATCTATTTGACAAACAGTTTAATATCCGTGTGGTAAGTACACGAAACAAAGACAGATACAACTGTTTGTAATGGAAATGCATAGTTGCCTTGAAGAATCATAGAGATGTTCCAACGGTTCACGAAGAGAATGAGGTGAGTGAATAATCTCCTGGATTGGACGACATCCTTGTCTTCTTCATCATCTCTGAACCATCGTTCTTTAACATATTTTCAAGTGAATGCTTTTGAGGTAACCGCGAAATATTTTTGAGTTTTCAACCAGACTCTTACGACGTATCTCGTAAAGCCCTGAGCTCTCACCTTGCGATTACCACGTATTTGATCCACTCAAAATCTCATAAAGGACGGCAGTTTACAGAATATAATAGGGCCGTGACACCGTTGAACAGTGATTTGAAAGCAAATCCCTGACTTAACATCGGGTATTCATTATTTAGTGGACACACACATCAATGAACACCTGCATCAATGCAACACTAGCAGCAACGAAACCGATTTTAATACCTGACAACAAGTGAACGATCTAGTAAAGTGATTGAGTACATTGACTATTGAGCTTATTTTAAACGCCAATTAAGAAGTTAAAGAAACAAATATTTTAAATTACAAACAAAATGCTATTAAAATTAGAAAAGTACGGCGTTGTGACGGTAAAGGCAATTCATCACTATGCGAGCAGTACCTTCGTCATACACACAACGTATGAAGACAGAGACCGCACAGCATTCCAAAAGCCTATGTATAGCAATACCAATAATACCAATATCAATATAAGTATACCAATAATCTCGGGAAATCTCGAGAACGCAATTCGGGATCCACATCTTTCGCACGCCATGCAACTCATATTAACCTTTTCTTCGCCGTAGTTCAACGCTAGTAATAATTACTCACACTAAATTTATTAAAATACTCGCATCATTATTGGCGCCCGACCTGCTCTAGTACTAAATAAAATGTGACGCTTTTAATCACACGTTCGACTGTCTCCTTCAGTAGATTATGATAAAACGACATTCTGGTTATTTTATTCATTGATTTTTTAATCTAATTAATTTATGCCGCAAGTCTGTTCCCTTTTGTTTTTATTCACTTTTTTAAATGATTCCCTGTTATCCGCTATTTTTCTCGGCTACCTGCGTTAATTTTCGTCTTATCTGGCAAGCATCACATTTTTAATTGCAACCTCGCATCGTCAGTTCACGTCTGCGCAAAGCGTACGCGTGCTCTCACAATAGCAAATGAGACGACCTTGTGTCAGTAACAGCGGCTTATCTTGTTACTGTACATGTCTTGTTCATACTTATGAAGGACTTGGAGATATAATAAGGGTAGACATGCTTGAATGAAAATGGAGATATTAATATATTTCCCCTTAGCGAGAGGCTCGCTGTAGGTGGTGTGACCTCTCCCCAATACCGCCCGGCAAGCTCTTCGTGTGTCTCTCTTTTCTGAATACTTGCCACTCTGATCCACTATTTTTAGTTTACCAAGACCCATCCGCATTGCATTGTAGGCGGGTCTTTGCATGATTTATACCAAAAGGAAAGAGGGACTCACCGAGCGAGAGGGTCTCGATCTCGTCGTACTGCGGCACGGGCTGCTTGGCGGGGCCCGCGCGCTCCGTGATGAGGAACTGCACGTGGTCGCACTCGGCCTTGGTGCGCAGGATCTCCACCTCCACCTCGGTGCCGTGCAGCTTGCTCGCCACCGTCTGCGCACACCGCCCACTTCGAAGGTGACAATTGAACGCCATCCAACTCTACGTACTACGTCGCCCGCCCTCCGTGGCGCCCTTCCCGCCCTCCGTGGCGCTCTTCCCGCCCTCCGTGGCGCCCTTCCCGCCCTCCGTGGCGCCCTTCCCGCCCTCCGTTTGAGCCTTACACTCTACAGTTTCTCTTCTCTCTAAGATTAATATGAAATAGACCGCTCATTTTAGATGAGCTACTTTTTTTTCTTTCAAACGGCAAATGTGCTTCAAAAAAGAACTTATCCATTCATTCTTCATTGACTACTTGAAGAATAGTTAATTAACATTAGTTATAACCTGGTGGGTAAATTGTACAATACAATTTTATTGAAATTCATGTAACAAAATCAACTGATATAAGGCACACGTTTAAACATATATTATTTACTAGCCGAACATGTTTTAACAAATAAGTCGGTTTGTAAGGTGGATTTACAGTAATATGAATTTGTAATTATTAGTGCTTCAATAAGTACAGAGTTTTTTATTTAAAAAAACTAACATTAAATTTGTTTTATAGATACAATAAAAATATTTTTGAATACCTAAAATAATAAATATGAGTAGGAGATAAACCAATATGCGTTAAGAACGGTGCAGTATTTTTATATTTATTTGAAGTATTTAAATAGTTTATTTCATTGGGATAGAGATTTGAAGAAAATTACGTTTGCCTCGAATCTTGTTTAAGTGTTACCATCATAGTGCGCTATTTGTTAGACGACTTTTTCCATCTTTTAGTAATTTTCTAGATACATATAAACATGGTGAGTAATTTCAGATGAAAAATAATACATCTGTGTGTTTCTCAAACTATTAGCAATAACTATCGTTTTAGCTCTAGAATCATAGAATCATATACAAAGCGTTTCTTGTAATATCGTCACGGCCTGTAAGACATAGGAAATGTGTGTCCATTACCAAGCCTAAGTTCTGCTGAAGACTTAGGTCTTTTTGAAACAGCGAGGGCACTCAAACTTTAATGGATGGCGAAGTCAACTCCAATCACAGGTCCGAGCGCGGTACAGGGCTAACAGAAAATGCATCCCAATTCCGAATACGAGTATTCAAATTGCGATTTTCGACTGTATCCCAGAGAAGTAGATTTTTTCCTTCGGTAAAATTTAGCTTAAGGGAAAACTTTTCAGTGTCTAAACTCACTTTAAGTACGTACAATCGTCTTAACGATGTAGAAGACTAGTAACCGTAAACAAACTGCTGATGAGGAACGAATCGTTTTTTAGCACAATGACGTGATGTATATTTATGCATAAAATGAAGGTGAAAAATTTGGTGTATTTTTTAAGATGAAATGACTTAGCATGTGTAATAACGGTACAGTTTATAGTAGTCTAGCAATAATATAAGTAAATGTATAAATTTAAAACACCTAGGGTTTTCTTTTAGAAATAAGTTTGAGACGTTTACTCAATCACCTTTTTTCATTTTTTCTTTAAATAAGAGTTCGCGAGCCTTATTTGCGTTATCACGTGCTCTTATTAACTAGTTTTATTGTATAAACACGAAAACATACAAATGTATTAAACGTAATTGAATAATAGCTTATCAGAAGAAATTTGTTCATTATTTCGTTATGCGAATTGTAGTCGATATATTAAAACAGACGACAGTTCATCTTGCACCAGCAAACATGTGTGAAATTATAATTAGCGAAGCGAAAATAGAGATTTTAATTTACCCCGTTTTAAGTGCAAGTATATAAATATTACATCCCACAATGTTCTTAATCGGGTCCCTTCACAGTAAATTTTTCGTGAGTACAAATACATGTGGGGCATTACGTTTTTAAGTAAAGATGGATTTCAATGCCGTAGTTCACTACATGTTCAGATCTTGGTACATATAAGACACTTTGTTTACATGAGTTTACAGTGAATAGTGATTGAATTTTTCCAGAATTTGTAATCTTAATTAATCCAGAAACTAATCTTCATTAATCCAGAGAATTAGTTCTGAACAACATGAAACAATTTTTAGGGGTTTTCAATGTCTTACAAGGATTACGTAATCGTTTCCTAACTTTTCCATTCTTTTTCCTATTCCCTTTGTGGAATGTAATCACAAGTGCTATTTTCGTAGAATTAAGATAGTAATGTGTGATTTAATCATTTCAAACAATGTTCCCATTTTTTCAAGAAAGATTCTCAAGCCAGGAGATGGCGGTCATGAATAATGCACTCTTCTGTAAAAATGACACGGAAAGAAAAAAAAAGTGACGTAAAAACGCGTTGTTGGACGTACAGAAGATAAAAGTGATGATAGATGAGAAAACATAAATATAACTTACGTAAAACTTCCATCCAAACAAATGTTTAGCAGAAATGGAAGAGACAAGAAATGAACTGTGTTGATCTCCAGCAGTTTAAACAAGAGAAAACCTGTTCCCGTTTACCTCCCAGTTTTGACTGCGTCTGTGACCAGAAATGAAAATTGAACAGGGACCCACTTCTCAAAAGTTGACCTTTTTTATTGAAATTTCTCTTACAGGGATAATTCTTATAAACAATTGTAATATAAATGGGTTGAATATTTACGATAGATAATTTATTTATCGGAATGTGAGTTTTGCAACATTCTGGCAGTAATAAACAAAAAATAACGATTCAATATTAATATTTGGAAGAAATTATTTTTTATTAATTTATTGCAAGGAGAATTATTTTTAAATATTTTGGGATGATGTGTAGAAGACACTATGCTCGCTTCTAATACTTTCAAAGAAAAATGAACCAAAGATTTATTTAATCGGCAGGCATACCAAACTGCCGCCGGACGAGTTACTTTCCTGTCTGGGAAGCCCAACGCTTCTGCAAGCAAGGACAACTTCCCTTGAATGCCCTCGCATTTCCCCTTCCAATCCAGAAAAGGGTGTACAAGTGCAAACTGTAGCGAGAATTGGAAGCGAGATGCGCGCTCGAAATAACAGCAAGAATGGTTGCTTCGTATGAAAATAGTATGTTTGGGAGAGGTTTTCTACCAAAACAACGGTATTTGAATTAATTTTCTGTATTTTATTACTTATTATTGTATTTCGTGTTTATTTTGTATTTTGTTTATCTCTATTTAAATTCGTTGTATAATTCTTAGGGCTGTTTTTACTGACGAAAACATTTGTTTCTAATCTGAACCTAGGAATTTAACGCAATTATTGCACTCCCCAGTAAACGAGAAGTGCCCTCGTGGTGGCACTAGCTAGAGAGCTAGTTCGAATTCAGCCGCTGTCTGCAGAAGAATTCTAGCGGGCGGCTGCTCTAATTGATAGTTTTATGTGGTTTCTCCGATTAATATCAAGCGAATGTTAGAGCAGTACCCTAACAAACGGGCCATGGATCTCGTGCGAACTTTCATTGCTCTACCTTGTTCTATCCTCGCCCCTAACGTGCTTATACCCACTACACTACCACACAAGTCGAGAGATCAGTCCAGAGCTTAGAGCTAGTCCCAGCAGGAGTAGTACCCTGCTGTTGGGAAATACAAAGATAGGGAAAACCAGCAAGCCGACGTGAAAGTCAGCGTGGAAAATCTACATCCAGCGTGCAATGAATACCGTCATTAAAACATGCGCTACACTTACAGGAGGAGTATCCATAGCAGTTGACGCGCCCAAAAAACACGAAATAACCAATTATCAATGAGAAAGAGCCGTAAAAAGTAATACGAGGCGTGGTACCTTGACGATGCCGATGACGATGTGCTCGAGGCCCGGGCGGTCGGAGTAGTAGTGCAGCACGAGCGCGCCGTCGTCCGGCCGCTCGGTGCAGCGGAAGGAGGGCGCTCGCATGCCGGGGTACAGCGTGCCCAGGTGGTCGTGCAGGGCGTCCAGGTTCTGTGACACGCGAAGCGAACCGCACCGCACGCGTCATCAGCACGGCCGCTGACATTGGTCTTTTCAGAGCGTAGGCTTCCGCGGTCGGCGTCAATGGCTTCTTGGCTGCCCGGGAGACGCCGCATTATAGGCACGGGCCGACGATTCAGCTGTCTTACTGCGACCTTCCTCAGGGCGAAATGCGTCGGCCTGAGGTTGCCCCGTTTTCTTAGGTCGAAAGAAGGTCGCAGAGTGTCGACCGAGCGCCTGTGCCTATGACGCGGCGTCTCCCGGACAGTTACGTAGCTAATTAGACTTATCACCGTCTTAACATCACTTTTATTGTGGTTGTCATCGTCGTTAAAATCAGCGTCACCGTTACCATCACCATCTTTTCGTTTTTTAATTCGTTTTTTTCAGAAAGTCTGTCTAATTGTGTTGACTTAGTCAAATACTGTCTGTAAAATACATGGATATGAATTTGAATTTAGTGATTGATTAAGTCTGTTATTGCATTCAACAGTTTCTATTACCTTTTGACTACATTTTGAATATTCACAATCAATTTCGCCTAGAGAAAGTTCTAACTGCAAGTGAATCACTGTACGATCATATTTGTGGCTTTCTCTGTTATAAGCATCAGTGACATATTCGGGATTATATAAAAATTGCTCGCAATTCTATGTAAAATAATTGAAAAATAATACAGTTGTTTATGACACCATGATTTCCTTCTTTGACACTTCCATTTTTTTAAAAAAATTATCTCATTTGACTTATTTTTGGAATGTAAATATTTTGATAATTAATATTCAAACGTGGTTGCATGCATTGCATGCATTACACATATAAAACAATCGTATAAACTCAAATTCTTTATACAATTCATCACAAACCGATCTTCCGACTTCCAGAACAATATCATTTTAATTAAATTACAAAATAAAAGACAAAAGAGAAACTTTTCGGAGACTTAGAACGACCCTTTTTTTTCCTTCGCCGGAAGAACGACACCGACAAAGTCAAAGAAGACTCCCCATATATTTAGTTTACGAACTCCACCGCTGACCACTCCGCCACGAGTTCCCCCAATCGCACACTTCCGGGTCGTTCTTCGGCGAAAAACAGAAGAAAAGCAGTGTCGTTCCTGCGGTCCGGCCCCGCCGCCGTTCCTCGGCTGTTTTTACAACTGACGACGCGAGACGGCATGGGAGTCCTCGGTGTCATCGGCTGTCCCTCGGCAGAGTGAGGATACGGAGGAGGACAAGAGCAGAGGGGAGAATGAAGACCCACGAGTAACTTCTCTCCGAAGAATCCTGACAAGGAAGACAGTGCCGGAATTCTGAGACGGATTTTCAGATTGTCTTTTGTTACTGAGAAGATGAAAAGCATTGTTGACGTTCTAAAGCCGATAGAACGCGTTTTAAAGAAACTTTTAAGATATCGACATTAGGTCACAAATTATTAATGGTTGTTTTAGTCGTTCCGGTCAGTAGAAAATGCCCTCTTCTAAATTTACTTTATGACTTATAATATGGACACATTTCTGATCAGGTGGCGAAAATGTCAAAGCCACATACGCTAAGACGTTATATTTAAATCTGACGTATCTGATGTATATGATGTATTCAATCGTTTTTGAATTTATGATTGAAAAGTAAATTGTTAAGAATCTATATTTGCAGAATACTAAAAAATGGTGGAAATGAATAGGAGAATATTATTTGTAAGAATTTTTCAATAAAGTAAATATGAATAGGAGAATAATATTTGTGAGAATTTTTAAATAAAGTGAATATGAATAATATTATTCTTGTAGTGATTATATGGAAGTCAACACAGAATATTAAACAAATATCTCACCTGCAGGAAATCCCTTGGTGTTGCTCCGAGAACTTGTAATATTTTGTCATATCCAGAATCTTGGCAAAATTCAAAAAACATTTTCCCAAAGAGTTCTAGTATGGTATTGGCGGGAATCTCTGCAATAGAAAACATATTGGAGTAGTTATTTTTTGGGACTCAATTTACACTGAGATTGATTAATATTGATTCCTTTACTAATATGCCTCAAAAAAGAAAAATATTTCCTCGCTTAATAAAATTTCAATTTTAATGTAAAATTTCATTGTCATGAGGCGTTTTGATGAATATTAAAATCGGTACATGTAAGACATAGAATTGTCATATATATTGTGATATGTTGAGAATACTCACTTAAAACATTGACGGCAGAGTTGATAAGATTGTATGTTATTTCGTCTTCGTAAATTTGGCGCACCAAAAATTGGCCCTCCATATTTACATCGGCACTTTTCCTGTAGAGGAAACAACACAAAATATGTTAATTTAACTTCCATTATAATTCAGTAATCTAAGATGTGAAAAACGTTCTGTGATTCTGTGATGTTTCTTACGGCACTACAGTTTCTTGAAAAGTAATTAGAAATCCAGCATACGAATAGAGCATTTGAAAAAATAACAAGAAACAAAAAAGTTGTGATTTGTTTAGTAACTAGCTGACTAATCCGAGTTGCACGGATATTTATTTCTCACAAACGTGATTTAACCAGCATCGCCAGACGGCGTTTTCCGCCATATGTGTTCATCCTCTTATTACGCATGGTCCATATCCATATTCTTTGTACGCCCTATTCGGACTGCCACGGACTGACATTCGGACTGACATGCGATCGGTCTACAACTCCCGTTCCTACCATCCAGCCTATTCCGCCCTACTATTCCTCTCTGTCATGACGGTATGCCTCCCTCCCCCCTCCCCTCTAGGTCCACCCGGGCTGGAATGGCTGCCCAGCGCACACCTCCTGACCTACCCATCCAGTCTTTTCTGCTGGAAGACTTCCCGCTCATCATGCTTCGCCCGTCTTCCCCACACACCCTTTCTTGCATGCCACGGCCGCTCTGTCAACACCTCCCGCCCCGCCCATCCAGCCCCTTCCGCTTTATCTATTTCTCCCACTAGTTACGCTTCAGTCACATTCTCCGCATGCTCGATTTTGCCTGCCGTGTCCGTTCTGCCCACACCATGCATCCAACCCTTTATTCTTCTTCAATACTTCACGGGTTAGGTATACGCCTGTTCCGTTTCCACTGTATTTTTCCATCTTTTCTTGGGTCTTCCCATATCTCTTTTCCTCTCGGTTTGTAAGCTTATGTTAATCTTAGCACTATTGTTTTCTCCATTGTTTCTAAGTGCTGTAGCCACTTCTCCACGTTCATTTCCATTATATTATTTATGCTATTCACATTCAATTCTCGCCTTATTTCTTTATTTCTTGTCTGGTCTTTTGTGCTGCAGCCTTTTGTTCTTCGAAGCAACCTCATCTTTGAGCTCTGAATTTTACTTCTCTTTTGTGCGTAGACCCCAGCACTCAGTGACATAAGGCAATATCTACAGCGCTATTTTTATATAAAATTTGATTCTATCTTTTCGGGTCATGTTTTTAAGGTTTGTATGGTCCCACAGATGGATTGAAATCGTGCAATTTTTTATCAATGTCTTTTTGACCTTCTTTATCACATCCGAAGATATTAAAATTGAAAACTCGTTCTATGATTATATTGTCTAGAATTATTTTTCAACGGATAATCTCTTTTCCCCAAAACGCTAATATTTTGGTTTCGTCTTTTGAGATGGTTAGGTTGCAAGAGCTGCCTAGCTGATTTAAGTAGTGAAGAGCATAATGTAGATCATTTTCAATTTCTTGAATTACGACAGCACCATATGCATAAAATAGAAGGTTTAAAATATTTTTTCTACTCAGTTTTATTCCTGTGCTAATATTTTGTTTACATCTCAGAAATAGGTCACTTACATATATGTTAGAAAGTGTCGGCGACATTGAACATCCTTGGAGAATTGAAAACATCTTTGCTAATTAAAATTTCTTCTGTTTTCACCGAATCTATCTTATTTTTGAATGATTATACCTACTTTTAATGGTTTCTATGAGATGGCTAAGGTAGCCATAATATTCCATAACGTCCCAAAGTTTTCTTCTATCAGCTTTATCAAAGGCTTTAAGAAAATCAATAAATGCCATGTGTGTGTAGATTGAATTACCTTCGTTTCTCCATGGCTTTCATCCCAGAATTTCCGTTGAGATTCTTTGACTATATTCTTTGTTGTGTTCCGTGGTGTTTTATAGTTTTCTGGTGCTAATATATAGATCTATTGAAGCAATTTTTTTGTATTTTTCCATCCATCCAGCCCTTTTTGCTCCATCTGTTCCTTCCGCTCATCATGCTTTATCAGTCTCTCTCCCTTACAGTTCTAGCATTCCAGGGCTGCCCTGCAAGTACCTGTTGTGAAAAACAGAAATGAAGATGCGACTTCCTCAGCAAGAATCTACAGATTTTTGAGATCGAAAGTTTCGCGACATACGTACATATATTTTTCTATATTTCGGACGCCATATTTTGAAGATTGCTGAATCCAAAACTGTCTATATGCAAATATATCAGATTATTCTCCGAAATTCATCTTCAATGGAAATAATGAAAGCCTTAATTTACTCCGATCATATTCATCTTTACTTCAAAAGTATGAAATCTCTTTTCATAGTTCCACTACAACAACAGTTGGAACCTGCAGAACATACTAAACATCTTAGACCTTCACAATGTTATCGAGCATAACAAGTGCTTTGAGCGCATATACTATTCACAACTTAAAAATGTTTTATTGAATTGAATATTTTCTCACCTTGTTGTAATCAAATTTCTAATATATGTCAAAAAAACCTAAATTAAAGTGCAATTGTAAAGCATAAAGATACAATCAGAGTATCTAGATAATTGGACTATTTTCGATCAAAGTCATTTGAAAGGTCTGGTAAAACCAGATAGATTCCGGAAAATAATAATCTCCTCGCGTGCAAACGAGAATAAAACGATTTTTCTCGATTGCGCATGTTTATTCTTGACCCAAGGAGGAACTATGGAGCTCGTAATTTAACAGGAACAAACCCACCCCGTATATTAGCACAAGATCCACTGTTAGGGGCATAACAACCACTGGTGGAAACCGCTGAACCCATGAAAGTGCGTTAAGTTTCCGAGAGTTGTCGATAACAAGTTCCCCTTTGTTCCAACCAACCAGAACACTCGTAAACACGCAGGCCGAAAAAAATTCAATTTTCCTTTATTACGACCTCGTTCATTACGCGCCAGCTTCCCTCAGCAAATAACACCATCGAAGATTCACCTGCGTTTTTTGCTCTCGCATCGTGCGTGTTGGTTTATGTTGTACACTCGCGAATTGTCCGAATTATTATTGGTTTTCTTGAATCCTATTTAGGAAATAAATTCACTAAGCAGAGAGTACTGTTATTTATGATAAGCGTCGGACTCACTATGTTTGAGATGCAAGCACTGAATGACTGATCACTTTCCTTTTATTCATATTTTTATAAAGGGCACGTTCATTGTAACTATAATTAATATTTAAATGTAATTATGAAGGTAATTAACTTACAGAATTGAATCTTTGTTGATGACGTAAGTGCACATATTTTAACTTCCTAAAAAACTATACCGTTAATTTAAAATGTATCTGTTAATTTAACACGGGTTCTTTTAAAATGCTAAATTCGCAAAACTCATACGAATAACTTGCCAACCACAGTAATATTTCCTTGATACAAAATAGAAGTTATCTCTTTATTTTTCCAAACGTATAGTCATGAGATATCAACTTTTGCCCTAAGCCCCTCCCACCCACACACGCTCACATGTTCATGGACATATACGTACAATGTCTGTTTAATAATGGTTGTACAGTGACAATTCGTTGGCTAATAAGAACTCAGCTTCAAAATCTATAAAATTCATCAGATTCAGCTCGCCTACTGAATCCATAATGGTGAAATCGATCTGGGGATATGGATGGGGTGCCGACATACAAACCGCCTCGAGTGCCGCTGAACTTGTCTACGCCACTGTTCAAGACTACCCTGTTATCTAATTCTGAATCACTTGAATAATTAGCATCTAAATTCTTGCATTTCCTACAAATTATTGCAATAAATAAATTCTGTATTTTACATTAGACGAATAGTTTTGGTGTGTTACGCCTTTCGATTTCTTTGAAATTAGAACGTTTCTAATGAATACTTCAATCCGCAGAGGCGTTTGCTTCGTCCTAGGATGGTCAATTCGTGACCATAAATAAATTAAACACAACAAATAATAATTATAAAATAATAATAATAACATATTATACAGAATCGGTAAACAAAAAGAACTGATAATTCAGAAATGTTTGTCTTGAAACGATTTCTTAACACGTTTGAGCCTTAGGACCATTTTATAAACCACACTCACGTTTTACAAGAGAAAGATTGCTCCAATTATTTTAACTGAAACGCAAATTTGATAGCTTAATCAATGTCTCTCTGCATTATGCTACCAGTTGAAATAATATAACATGAAAATTGACCATTACGTGATACAAACAGTATCCATGATGTTTAGAATGTGGTCTATTTTTAAGGAAAAGTATAACTTCACATGTCAACGCATTAATTTCTTTTCCGTATTCGCTATAAACAGAGCGATCATCTCGAAATTTCCTTCTTTGTGCTAATGAAGAATGCGTATATTTTGAGAAGTAAATTAACATTAAAGTACTAACGTTTTCATGTCTGAGGGACGCAAATTGCAAGCCAACCCTTTCACAGTTTGCTGGCCCCGGCTTTTATGGTAACGTTCCACAGACCTTTCCTTGGCGCGCTACGAGGTCTCAATATTTGCCGGTGGCAGTGGCCGCTCAAATATAAATGGAGACTAAATTAATTTGGCCGACTAATGGTCTGAGCGAGTGAGAAATGTAATTAACAAGACATCCAACAAAGTAAACGAGGTACAAAACAGGAAGCCGAAAAGTTCCCATTATAAACAGAAAACTAGTTTCTCTCGGTTTGCTTTGAGATGCTAAATGTCTAAGTGATCGTTTAAATGATTGATAATGCAAAGCCCTTTGTTGTACGTTTTCCCGGGGCACATCGCAAATTAAAATACTAATTATGAATGAATAATTATATAATCTTGGTACAGATTTACTCATTAGTTCAATCGATTAATGTATTATAAATAATTTTTATAAAAATCACACAATTATATAATCGTTTACATTTTGTCACCCATAATTTCTAAATAAGTACTATTGGATTTGTTTCAGAAATTCGTGGTCAATATTTTGGTGGTATAATCCGATTTAAGGATACCTGTGTCAACCAAAGTGTTTTTTTATAATATATCTATGTATTTGCGTAATGTGTTAGCGCAAATAAGAGCC